TGGCAAAAGCAATGGGGACAGTGGAATTCAAATAACTGGCACTTGAGAAGTGTGYGAAGCTCACCTGAAGTGAGCAACTTGCATGTAGATCATGAACATGAGTGTAGAATTATATTTACCAGCAGATGAATTTAATGGGAATCCATGCATTACTGCTGTGCAATGTAACAAATCCATCTTGGTCATACAGCCAATTAGTTAGGTCACAGTAACATTGAACATTAAATGAGGTAAACATTTTACCCTCTCCATCTAAGGAGATGCACCTGAACTCCCCTTTTTGGATAGCTCTACTAGTTGTACCACACTAGAAATACACTAATATTGTATAAAGCTTATATAAAGTTATGTAAGTTAACTTTATATAAAGTTAAACTTATATAAATATAAGTTGGTTATACATTTTTCCCTGTATTGTTTCACATTTCATCCAAAGTTTCATCTGAGTCCAAATAGCTGGGGATTAGAGTTTTTTACTAAAGATCATAGATATGTTAATATTATTCAATATTTCTGGATGAAGTCACATAAATCACTCTTTAAGGAATTATATGAGTAGAGCTCCCATATCACTGCTACTACATTAATAATAACAGTAATAAAACTTGATTTTGGCATTAACCTACGAATTGATACCCATGCGAAGCTAGACAGACAGGTGCTGAAGGAAAATCCATACAGGGGAACCATATTGCTTATACAGTCTCTGTAAATCTTGGTTTTACTAACGCTATACAAACAATTTTCTTTCCTGGATTGTGGTGAAATACATGTGTCATTCCAATAAGCAAAAAAAAAAGCCAGTTCTCCAAAAGAAAGTAAAACCATTTTTCAAATAGACTCTTGAATTCAGTAGAAAATTTCTGCTAATGTGAAAACTTTCAGTTTGCCATTTYTGCCAATAAGGAGTTTTTCCAGTGCCTTAGAGGAAAGCAAAGCACTGACAGAGCTTCCATCATTCTCTTTCATTGTCATAGAGGAAGTGGGATAAAATGATGGGAGAACAGCTGCTCTTCTCCAAATTTCCCCTTAAGAATATATGAGCTCATAATGGAAACCCAGACTGTCATCAAAGGATATTTTCACAATCTCTATGTTTTAATATTTAAAAATTCCACTCTGATGGATCATAGCAAATGGTCTTGGCATGGAAATTCCATACAGATCTATCTACATACCATTACTGGCATCTAGGATTCTTGACATAAAGGTTGGGCACTTYATTATTCCTTTTGTCCTGTATCAATAATTGAGCTAAAACAAATATGTGTGYTGCAGGCACATGTGTATACAGAACATACACTCTGTAAATGTCAATTTCTTTACTTTAATCTTTATCTATTCATGCCATAAGACTGAACRGGTATTCAAAGATAACCATCAGGTTGGGCAGATGTTCAAACTAAGCATTAATTTGCCATATAGTCAAAAAAGAAAAGCCATAAGACATGGTTGATATGAACAAACAGGCAAGTTAAGATGTGTTGAGATGTGGTTGGTATAAGCGAACAGGAAGGTTAAGATATGTTGGGAAGGGCCTAAGCACTGTGTGTGTATGATTATTTGTGCACATATTGATCTGCTCAGTGGCTGTGAATGCAGTTCTCAACTTCTGGTCGTTGCTGACTTTTGCAGTAAGACAGAAGTCTTGTACAGAAGTCTTGACAGAAATGTTTTGATAATAGCCTTAAGTAGGAATAATGCGTTGCTTAAACTTGATTCAGCCCGTTCTTATTTGTGAAAGGAGAAGCTGCCCAAAGTGCTTCCTGTGGGCTGTGAYTGGCACAATAGCCTGAGACCTTTGGAGTAGAGAGGCAGCACTGCCCACCCTGTACTCCTGCTTTCTGGGGACTCATGCACAGAATGTGCTCTGATGTCTTCTGGTCCCCTGAATGTCCCCACTGGGGAAGGCGTCAAAACATACTGAAGATTCCTCCTTCCTCTGGTGACAAGATTTCCTCTGGGAGAAAAACCACATGAGTGGGGATCTAGTGCTCAGTCCAGCCTCCTTTCAGCATGTATTTAAAGGGTATTCAGAAATTAGGGCAGGAGTGAGACAATTTTGTCAACTGGAACAACTTGAATCACCTTCCCTTTGCCTGCTCTCACATCTGCTCCTGCTGTATCTTTCTTGCACACATCTGAGCCCATGTTGAGGAGTGGGGCCATAGTCCACCCTTCCAAGGCCATGTGCCTGTGTATTATGAGTTAAAATAAAAATGAGGACAACATTATATGCGAGTGGAACACAAAAACTGTATGAGAGAACATTTGGCCAACTGATGATGTGAAAGAGAAGACAGGCAGCAACAAGACTGACCAGTAACCAGGGAGTTACAAAGTGATCTTTGAAACAAAGGAATCTTGAAAATAAGTGTAAAAGAACCATACATATTTGATAGAGACCTGGCAGCTGAAACAGAGCATCAGGAAATAGCTGGCCCAAAGCTGCCAGTAGTCATCCCACCAGTACCACAACCTCCGTCTAGGCCTAACAGAGCATGGCCCATGATACTCCATGAGTAGCCACGTTCCAGCTTGTGGAGTGACAGTCTGCGATGTCGGGACTCACACCTTGGGAGTGTCCAGGCACCAGCACAGGGTCCTTTCTCACTAGCGTGTGCCTTAGCAGACTGTAACCCACACTTCTCTTCTACTTAGTGTGTGTGTGCGACTGTCTGTGTAATCYGAACTTTGGTGGACTACTTAGAGAAGGCTGTTTAGAAATTATTGTAGATATTAATGGAATTTTTGGAGATATCTAGTACTTTATCTATTTATCTATTGCATTATTGATATGGATCTTGAGCGCATAGCTCACTGACCTGTGTCCAATGCCATGTCCTAATTCTGGTCCAGTCAATTTCTTTGATCCAGATTTGGTATGAACTATGTGATCTGACAGTTTATCTTAGCACCATCATCTGCTCTCGTCCAGGCTCTGGCAGAGAAAGTCTGGAGCTGAGGGTGGGAGCAAAAGGCTGGACATACTGGCCTCGGCAGGGCAGCGGTTAGACACACGCGAGGGTGCTGTTTCAGTGCTCTTATCGGATGGGAGGACGTTACAGCTCGCTGCCCAAGGTGTGCGACCCCATTTGAGCTGTGTTTTACTGGAGAGGGTAGCTGAGGAGAGGAAAGGACCGCGACTAAAATTCTGTACGTTCGTTTAAAGCCGTCAGTGCAGTTGCCCTCACTTACATGAGCCTGTGCCTCTGTCTTGGCTGTTGTGCCTCCCAAACGTGCAACAGTGAACAGGAACCTGATGCAGTGAGAACTGCTGGAGTTTATCAAAATACAATTTTCTTATTGCTATTTTGGGTTGTTCCTCCTGTTGTTTTAAGTTCTTGACTTATTTGGGGACACCAAATATGCGACATGTTGCCCATGTTCATGCCTTTTTACCTTTGTGAAGGGYCTTAGAAAGGCCATGGACTGCAGCAGAAGGGCCAGGCGCTGTATTTTAGTGCTCTGTGCCCGCATTATGGCTTTGATCTCCCAAATGTAAGAGCCCTTCTGTCACTATAAAGTTTACCGTACAGAGATGTATCTCTTTATGCAATTTTAAAGTGTATCAGGTTGAAATCTATTTTTGTTTTGACATGCAATGTATGTCTTGGTGCTGGTAGTGTTACAGTCTTCTTGTTATTTAGGTTAAGAACAGGGCTGGTTGACCAACTCAGGTTTGCCTGCCAAATAAAGAGAATTGTTTTCTCTTTCTTAAATAAATAAACAGAAACACTTTCCTTATTTTAAAAATATGTTCTATATATGTGGCTTAATAGATTTTATTTTAAAAATGCCACCATAAAATAATGTGGCAATTTCAGATTTTGTTTTGGTTGACTCAGGTCTCAATTTTTGGAATAAATATGCTATTAAAAGAACAAGTAAAAAAAATACCCTAGCTCTAATTCTGATTGAAGTGGTAAGTGGGATTTTAGTTCAGGTATTTCTCTTTTCACTGTTTACCAGGTAGCAGTAGAATCAATTAATTTAACTTTCTCTTGCTGTCTTCACACTTTATTTCCCATGAAACAATTTTGGAAGTTTATTGACTCTTTATTTACTCTTCCCCAGCTAATAAGACTGGMGGTATGAGAGACAGAAAACGGGACAGGAAAGGAAGCGCCTCTGGCATATCGCAAAGGTCACTGTAAGAATCTCGTTTCCGCTTTAAAATTTACCTGGGACTCCCGTTTATTTTTTTCTCTCTCTGTCTCTGTCTGTCTGTCTCTCTCTTTTTTTTTTTTTTTTTAAGTTCTACCACTGTGTAAAAAGGGAACTCAGTCCACGTGTTGCAATTCTGTGGTATTGCGGTGAAACGGAGCATCCCTTTCCTTTCAGAGTTTACATTTATAAGAGAGCCAGCGCTTTGCTTCCTTCAGATCACGAAACCAACCTGTCTGGCAGCTTCAGCGAGCAGGAGCCACAGGAAAGGTAAGAATTTCTTTCTTCTCTTGCTGTCCTTCATGTGGGATAACATAAGTCTGGTCACAGCTGCCTTCAGTTGAAATAAATGAAAACTTGAAGTAATTTATTTAAAAGTATATTTAAAAGTTTTTCTTTAGACCTTTCTCAGAATAACGTTTATATGCTTATGTGCCTGAAGTTAACCACATAGCATTGTCAGCTAACTAATAAGATGACTAATGTTGTAAGATAAAAATCTTTTATGTCTTATGAATATTCACTTTGCTGGAGTGTGTGCCTATATAACTAGATGTGTGTGGTGAGACCATTCTTTGCTTTAAATAAATGTAATTCCATTGGTACCCTGATTCAAGCAGGGATGGGTGCAGGTGACCTCCAGAGGTCCTTTCAGGCAGGAATTAATTTGGGATTCTCAGTAAAGACCTCTGCTGATTTATGTAAGTTGATGCTTGGGATCACAGGGAACACTTAATGTTGGTTCTCTCTCCTCACATAGGAAGTTCTCAGGCAACTGCACTGATTAATAGTGTTCAGAAGCTGAGTTTATTACTGATTAATTTTTCAATAAAACTGTGAGAAGGTGAGTTTGGGCAAGTAGGGGAAAGTTGAAGTTTTCCATGGAAATTGCTAACTTCATTACAAAAAAGTTCAAATATTTCAGCTTCTCCCTAAAATCAGAAGAAGCTTCTGTTTTCAGTGTTTCAGTTTTGATGAAGGGTTGACACTGAAAAGAAAGCATATTTTACCCCCTTTTTCTGCCTCCACGATTTTAGTTGAAATTTCAAATATCAGTTATATGAGGAAAACTGATAAATGACATATGACGATGACAGAAAAGAGCGGGAGCAGACAACATTCAAGATGATGCAAAATGTATTTTGCTTTCACAAATTACAGATAAGCCTTACCACAACAGCAAGCGAGCAGGAGCTAGGAAAGTGTTTGCCTGTTGATGCAGCACTATGCGGCTAACAGGCTGCCAGATAGTCTCTAGCTTCTGCCTGAGGTTTCTGCCTCCCTCCGAGTGTCAGACACGCTGTGAGCTGCTTCCTTTCTTAGATGCTCTTTCAGGATGCTAAACTCCCAGCTTCTGCTCCCACTAATAGCTGTAATGTTTGAGATGCAAAATCAGAGAGCGTGCTTTCCTGGGCAGTGATCCAAGGATGGCTGGCTTCTCCTCAAGATAAGAACTGCTGCTAGTTGTGAGGAAGTTACGGATTTGGGACATATCCTTCCTTCATAAGTCTGGATATAAAGGTTTGTAGTATGTGAGAAGAAAACATGAGGAATACTTGTCTTTCATTGGAAAAAAAAGGGCTTCTTTGAGAGGAAAGCAAAAAACAAAATAACCACATATTTTTGTCTTATTTCATCTGCACTCAAACTCCTATTGGTCAAAATAGAGTTTGAAAGCTATGTTTGTATCTCTAAGTCATACTGCTATCCAATTGGCTTACTCTTCAGTTAAAGAAAAATGCCTGAAGCTGTTTGAATAACTATCATTAAGTTTTTCATATGTCCCTGGTGGTTATCACAGCATTTGACAAAATATTTTGTTTCATGAAGACCTCTAGCTGTACTTTGAATTCAAGACAAGTGATTTGAGATCCAGAACCTGAATAAACACGGATATATAACTGTATAATCTCAGCTCAATGTATGTTTGAAATAACAGTACAATAATGATATACATATCTAGCCATTTTTTGCAAATATATCTGTCACTGACTTCCATAGGAATTTTGCCTGAAATGGCTTGAAAAGTAATTGAGCCTCAGCTGGGTATCAGAAACAGTGAGGAAATTGTGGGTATTGAAGCCAGCTATACACTGTATATAGCTACTGACCCCACAGTCACTCGTCCTCACAGAGACATGATGAAGAACATGGCCCAGCAAAGCATTTAAGTGCTTCATTCTATACAGTTTTGCTTTGGTAGGGCTACCAACAAACTCAAAGCAAGGAACCTGTTTAAAAGCTTTGTGTGATTAGAATTTAGTATACAAAGATTATTTGGTCCAGAGTCTTATTTATGCAAGCAACCCCACGTGTGTTAGGAGGATTTCCTTTGGTAAGGAATGCTTAGCTGAGACACTTGGCAATGCTTCTGAGCCCCTGACCAGATAAGGGCCAAGGGTTATGCATGAAACAGTTTCTTCTCAGTTCTGTAAATTCCTCTAAACTGGTTTGTGGTGTATATAAATGGCATATAAAAGTTTTGGCGTGAATCCTAGTGCAAACATGCTATGCAATTTTGATGTGTCGAAGAATTCTTAGAATGGGAGAAGATTTCTTAGTTCATTGGAAATTACTCTGTCCTCTGTCCTCATCACTGAGCTTGTTGGCTTCAGCACACAATCAATAATGCAAATGCTGTTTAGTAATGTATTTTTTCCCTACAGATGTCTCACCTTCTATTTGTCTTACTTTCACTGCTTTCCTTCGCTACCCTTCTGGAAGCACAGTGGAAATTGAGGGAGAATGGTAAGCTGCCTTCATTTGCTAAGACCTATAGATGACTTGTAGAGACCTATAGATGGTTAAAAACACATTGTCAAATATATATGTGTCTAAAGCTTAGCCTTGGCTAAGCTTCTGCTTATTTGTTTGCAAATAACTAGCCAACTAGTTGGTATTAATGGAAATAATTAGAAGTCCTCACATGCGGACACTTCTAACACAATAGCTGTTAATCTAAATATTTGCAGTAGGAACTGCCTTATTCCCTATTCCCTGTTCTCTTGTTTTAGAAGTTTCAGTCATGCAGTCAAGAAACAGAAACATTATCTTGTGACTTAGGTAATAGCCCACAAATAAACAGTGAAGAATGAAATGTCAAAAAGAACATTTCACAGAAAGTCTAGAATTTAAAAAGAGTTTATGCAGATGAACTGCAAATGCATTTGTAAAAAATACATGGTCAATAATAATTTGACTTCAATTTAATTTGACTTTAAGTAATTTGCTCACCATAAAATTAGGCTAAATTCAGATGGTCATATTTTCTGCTCTTCTTCACCCAGACTAGCTTCATAATATAGACTATTTTCAAGGGAATGATCCAGAAAGAAGGATCTTAATCACTATGGAAAAAAGGCATTCTCAGTCTGTGAAATGTTTTATTCTATGGAATAATTCAGSTACCTTTCTCAGTATCTTTTACTAAGAAAGGATTTATCCTGCGGGCTCCTCGAGCAATGTTGCTGTACTGAAAACTACAGATATTTTTGTCACCATATTGAAAATATACTTTTATATCTTTCTGTTTGAAATCTTTAATATTTACTTTGCCTTTGCCGCATGCAGTTTGGTAAGATGGGTTGCATGTCCTCTGCCATTTTAGATACAGCGTTTGCCATGTATTTCTTAGTGTCTCTTCTCTGTGGTAAAGTCTTAGTGCTCTCATTTGGTATCCTGGTGAAAAAGTCTTATAGTTCCATATTGAAACTGTGTTTATCTGAGCTGAGTATTTGCTGAGATACACTAAGAAACAGATTTTTGCCTGTTCTTGTATGTAGAGCAGTCTCTGAGGGTGCTGAATGCCTTTGGGAGCCTGTGACAGCAGTGGCATCTAAGCAATAGCTCAAAATAGTTAGAATTTGAGAAATGCTGCCACACAAAAGTGAAGGTAAAATTCTGCAGTTAACCTGACTGCTACTTTACTTTCCATGTGAAACCACAGCAAAGAGACAGGAGAAAATAACATTGTTTTAGTGGAATTATTCCAAAATTACTTTATTTTGTGGAGTTTCTTCTAATTTGGAGTGACCAATGGTACTTCAGAGTTACAAGACAGCTCTCAGGAGACTCCATCTCTCCTGCAGTCCTCTGACCTCTGCCGCAACTCTTACTAATTGCTCCATTTGGAGCACGGTGTTAGGAATCCATATCACTCCTTGTATAAGAGGGAATAAAGCATCAGATAGGGGTAAACACAAATCAGTTACCTGGAGCTGTCCTCCTTCCCACTGCTCACTCACCAACCATTGACTCTGAAGGGGGCCTTCCCGAGGGCCAAGCAATTGGTGATAACCAAGGGGCTTCATAGGCCATTCTGCAAGCAAAGGCCAGGGCCATGTGGAGGAGGAGGACATGGGCTCAGTGTGTCCCAGCATCCTCTTTATTAAAATAGAGGTCCTACCTGCTTCCCAGGGTTATGAACCACTATAGGATTCTCTTGAAACATGGGGAAAAAATTCTTCTGCAATTAAAAGGTTATCCCTGCTGATAACAATTTTGAGATGCACTGTGTTTTTCTAAGTTAAACTACTTCTTACAGTGAAGATTTCCAGGTGTTAGTAGGACCTGGGGGGCAAGAGAGGAAAAGATTTGTCAGCTTCGGAGAGTGAGGCTGAATTAAGGGCCCASGACCATCTCTATTAGGACTGTAAAGTGTGAGCAGTTGCTAATACTCCCTTTTCTGCAATGTCTAGTATATGTCATAGAATCTGAGTGGAGTGATGATGCACCAGCCACAAGAGTAGAGCTCACCTGTAACACAACCAATGAAGCCCTTCCTGTTTACTGGAAAAAGGACACAGAAGTGAAAGGAACTGGAAAGACACTGGTTGCTGAAGTTAAAGAGTTCCCAGATGCTGGCAACTACACCTGTCTGACAGCTGACACCCATGAAATCATCAGCTACAATTTTTTCCTCATAACTAAAATAGACTCAGATGGGCAAATGATGAGATCAATTCTGACAAGTTTTAAGGGTAAGGTCATAGGATGTTGTGATGCGTTTTTGTTGAGCTTTACACTTTGCAAACCCAAGGGAGCTCTCTGGGGAACTGCATGAGAAATAGACACTTTAAAATGAGTCTTCTTCAAATACTTATTGTCGGGGTGGCAAGTAATGGCTTTTCATGTGTGTGTTGTGCATCTGATGTGAAAAAATGAGAATGGGTTGTCTTTTGGGATTCATTAAGGACTTTCTAGACCCATAGGATGCAGTAATGGTAGAAATGATTAGACTAATGGGAAAATCACGGAATAACATCAATACATCCTTACTATTTTTCTGGTGAGGAAATAACTGACTGACTTTGTTTGCTGCAAAGCTTCTCTGTGAAAGAAACAATCTCTATGTCTACATAGAGGTTTTAATGACAGGTTCATGAGCCATCCACGACAGCTTGGGTACATGCTAGCTCCCATCAACAGCCATGTAGATGTGGTCAGTGTGCTGCTAGGTAGACCAGTCTCCAGCCATTAAATGTAGTTACATGGCTTTTTAAGTAGAAATTGCTGTTCCATGGGTAGCCTAAGCTTGTGTCTGCCTGCCAAAGTGGATGGGATGATGCTGAGTTACTGTGTTCTCTCTGCTTGGACTTGGGAAAAAATAATGCTTTCTTTCTTTTTCCATTTAGAACCAAAAAGAACATTTTTAAAATGTGAGGCAAAGAATTACTCTGGAATTTTCATATGTTCATGGATGACAGAAAATGAGAGTCCAAATGTGAAGTTCACAATCAGAAGTCTCAAAGGGTAAGAGCTTGTACTTTCCTCAGCCATCTCGTAAAGTAGCCTTCGKTATTACTCTGTGGAGGACATCCAGGATTGTGGGTTGCCAATTGAGAACATAAAGAAAGGGAGAAATCCCACTCCCCGAGTCTGAACATGTGCAAAAGGATTTGGGGCAATCACAGGAACCTATTTAACTAATAAGGGCTTGGAAATTTCTCAAGAATTAGTAAAGATTTGACCATGGAACAACCCACACCGGATTTGTTACAGCTGCTTCGGTACAGCCACAGTCACTTAAGCAATAGCAAAAATTGTGCATGCAGGGGAGAGAGAGGAAGTTAAGCCAAAAGTAGAAGCAATGATAGCATCGAGTCCCTTCTCAGCAGATCCTGTGGCACTAAAGGAGTGGGAGGCTGCGCCCACTGCAAAAGCCACATGTCCACTGACAAGCCTCAGTTGAGGGTCACTGCAGAAACCTGTGAGGGAAATGTGAGGGGAACCTTCTGGGGATTTCCTACCTCCCACTACTCTTGGGGGTTTCTCCAAAACATGCAGTACTCGGGCAGAAGTTATTTCAGTTTGTTAAAGAGGAAATAGCTGCAAAGTGTTTTATTTCGCTGAATGCAAAAATAGAGCCAGATTCAGGTAGCAGTTTGTGGTTGGCTTTTGCTATTTGTTTCTCAATGGATGCATTTTAACCTTGCCTCATTTATTCCAGCARTGCTATAGAAAGGGCTGAGGAACAAAGTTAGATACCAGAGCTTGTCATGGAACAGTGGTAATAAAGAAGAGAAGGACATATCATGTTTTAGGTTTAAACACAAATTCTTCTGCTAAGGGGGAACCTGTCTTTTTATTAATCTCTAAAAATGTGAGACTGCCCACCAGACTGTGTTTACAGTCGTGAAAGAGAAGCCATAGAATGATTCAGTCAGCAAGAAATATAATCTTACTAACTACAAGATACCAGTCTAAACAAAAATTCCCAGAACAATCCAGCATTTCCAATACCTTCTTTTGCTCTCTGCTCAGCTCTCAAGATGTAACCTGCAGCAGCCCTGTGGCTCACCATGATGACACAGTGATTAAATACACAGCCCAGTGTCAGAAAGAGAACTACTGCCCATTTGCTGAAGAGCACCAGCCAACTGAGATGTTCCTGGAGGTCATCGATGAGGTGGAATATGAGAACTATACAAGCAGCTTCTTCATCAGAGACATCAGTGCGTACACCAGAAATCGTGATTTATTCTTAGTTTTAGTCTTGCTGTTGTTGAGAGTGGAACTATTAATGGTAATTAACTAAACTGCGCTTGGGAATCCCTGCCCTATTCTACTGTAAATCAGGGGAAAACAAATCATAGCAGCAGTCCGGAAGCAGATGAGGAAGAAAAGAACCAAGATCTCCATAGCTTGTGACCTCCTGCTCTCTCTTCCCCACACCTCCCAGAAGTTTCTATAGCAGTCTCTACGAGAGGGATGTGTTTGGGAATGGACATGGGGTCTCCCAGGCAGAGAACAGTCAGTAATTGAGCAGGATCTTCTCTTGGACAGGATCATCTGCAGAATCATCTGCAGACTTACTAGTGGCTCACATAATGGTGAGGCAGCATCCTAAGGAAACAGATGCTTTGCTAAATGTCCCAACAGTCAGTGGGGTTTGAAGGTGGTCCTCTGACAAAGCCTTCCAGGAAAAAAACAAACAAACAAACAAAAAAACAGCTTGTGGAGTGTGATTAATTTTCCATGTGAAATATGGATCTTACATACTCTTGTCTTACTCTAATGGAGTCTCTGGGGCTTATTCTTATAAAACTGTCTGCAGTAGAACACCATCTGATATCTGATATCTCAAAGAGTATCTGATATCATGCTGCTAATGAGACCTAATGCCGTCTATATTTTTTCTTATAGTAAAACCTGACCCACCAAAATGTCACTACGTGACTAAAAACGGAACAGTGACCTGGACATATCCAAAAACTTGGAGCACACCAAAGTCCTACTTCCCTTTGACTTTCAGGGTGAAAGTTGAAAGCACAAGGAGAGACAAAATGATGTCAGAGGTACAGCATTCAAAATGAGCTTTTCTTGCTTTAACAAACAGTACAAATAGTATAAGCCTACTACACAAGATTGATGCCAAGCCCCAAATGTGGTAAGATTCTATCTTGAAAGAAAACAATCTTCCTCCAGTTCAGTGAGCTCTAAGGCCCAAACAACACACACTGTGGTGGATGCAATCCTGACGTAACCAGGAGCTAATGTCATGCCCAGAGTTGCATACCTGTGTAGCGTGAGAAAAGTCTCTGCTCATTCATATGCAGGGTTGTGTGGGTCCTAATTTGGGAAAATCCCGGTTTCAAAATCAAGAAGTCTAAAGATGTGTTRCACTGAGTTCCTTTTATGTTGTTTGTACCTGACTAGCTCAGACTTTCTTTATAGGTGAATGGTCAAATAGGGAATCAGTGATTCATCTGGTAGCATTTCTGTGGAGATTATAGCAYTTGCCATTCAGTTCCCAATTATTATTTAATTATTAACTAAAGATTACTAATCGGTATTAGCCTTAAATCACAAAATATCTTTCCATTGCTAATGCTCCTGAGTACGCTAAACAACTGAAAAACTGCATTCTAGAACAATTGGAAAACAGCATTCCGGTGATTTGCCTTGGGCTGACCAAGAAGTCAACTGCAGAACTGGAAAGAAGTACATGAACCACACTGCAAGACCTTAGCTGCAGTGCTGCTCTTCCTAGGAACAGCAACCTGAAAATTAAACCAATATGTATGAGTGAGCTGATTAAACAAGCAAAAATAAGTTAAGCTTTTACCAGCAGATGGGGCCATTCCCCCAGCGCTGACTCTCTGAATTTTGCAGTGTCTATTATGATTGATCATAAGGAGTGAAACTGGCCAATTTTAGGGCTGCTTCTTGTACCAGCCACAAATCCTCAGGGGAAATCTCATGGATACTGAAAATCAAGAACTTCTGTCTATYGAAGCTCATACTTTGGGAAAAGAAGAAAAAAAAAAGAAAACCCTGATATAAAATAAACCTTGTTTTTAATGATACAGTTTCAGTTTTGAATTAAGATCACTATACTAATTGCAATGCAAAGTGGACTTTCTAGTTTATATAGAGACTGAGGTTCTCACAATTCCTCATGATGTTCATAGCTGTGGGCGCAAACTGTTGCTTTCAAAACRTCAGACTACCAGTGGAGTTTTAATTGTTGCATGTATCTGGCAACATGTCTCTGCTGGACCCCTACCATCCATTGAAGGATCTGTGCTCTGTTTGCATTCAGGAGGTTGATGAGCAGCATATCCAGATTCCAAGGATTGGCCCAAAAGACAAGATCTCTGTGCAGGCTCGGGATCGCTACTACAGCTCATCTTGGAGTGAGTGGTCTTCACTTTGCAGGTAAGACTTAAAGAACCCTTTTATTGGAGAAGCAAATCCCATTTCCTGTAAAGAGGAGAGAGAAGTCTATGAACTTCTTACATTTGTGTTTCCTTGGGACCAGTTTTTGCTCCTGCACAGTTTTGCATAAAATACCTGTAAGACAATACAGACTTGTAAGCAACTGTGTCTGTATCGGGCTGTCCAAAATAAGATTTTCTTTAAAACAATGCAGAATCCTTTTAAATGGAAGAGGAAACAATGGATGCAGGTTCATCTATTTTGAAGTATTATGCCTGACTGAGTATAAAATGTTCTTCAAGAAATAAAAGTGCATTTGGCACTAGAGCTTACTATCCTTTTTCTTTCTGGATAACCTATGAACAATGTTGAATGTCCAAATACAGCAGGCAATTCACAAAATCAAATTTTTACCAGGAAAATTAGAAAGAGAGAGAGAAGGCACACACACATGTACATGTGTATGCATTCATCATCAGCTGGGTCTGCTGGTCTTAGGAATGGCTGTTTTCAGGAAAAAAAAGCTTTTTCTATGAACTGGTTACCATTCCCTGGCAATTCTAAATTCATATCTAACTGTGATTCTAGGTCAGGAATCTCTTCTTATTTTAGATATTTAGATATTTTCTTCTCTCTCTCTCTTATTTTACAGACACAAGTAAGAAATTCTAGGAGTATGCCTCTGTTCCTTAAGAAAGCAAGAATGAGTGTGCGGAAGTAAATAACTGGAAGAAAATCTGCATTTTGGATTACTAAGAAACCGTGACATTTTTTATTGTAATAGATTAATATGATGTTAATTCTGGCAACTCTTTTAAACTGGATTTGAGTAACTCTTCTATTATGCATCATGTTATATTAACATATTTTGTAGAAGTTTTTTTTGATATACTGCTGACAGCTGTTATGGTAGTTTCTCCGTATTATTATATTGCATTTATTTATTTATTTATTTATTTATTATTTACTTGAGATGAATATTGTCATGTCAAATATTGGCAGTTACTAGTTGAAATGTTTCGTATGTTAATTTATAAGGCAAGTAACTTATTGAAAGAACTATTTTAATATTTATTTATTTATTATTATTTATTTTGTTGAAATGCATCAGCATAGAAGTCTTGGCTGCGTGAAGCAGCCATGTATCATGTATCAGTACCATCTTCATCTTCCAGTGTGACAGCAAATATTTTTGCAGAAGAAGGAACTGCAAAAAAAACCTAGAAATGTTCGTTTCTGCTTTTTGTCTGCTGTCTTTGCTTACCTCATGTTGAAGCCCAGCTGGTGGACACTACAAATGGCTGTTGATGAGAAAGCAAACATTTGTAAATGTTCTTGCAGCAGGACCCAGCCTACAGTGGAGGCTACAGGAGGGCTGGTGCGAACACAGCTCTGTGATGCCTGTATCCACAGCTTAAATTATTTAAAAGTCTGACAGCAGTGTATCTGATATTTCAGAGACATACTGCTAACTGTTTTCTTTGTGGATGTTAAGCATCTATTTGAGATTTAGAGAGTCTTAGAATACAGATATTTATGGTTTATTTTGAAATTACTTTCATAGTGCCTCAAGGTGTGCTAAGTGTCTTCACTGGACCTTAGGAAAAACACCAAGGCCTAGTTTTGAACTGCTTACAGTGTAAGTGCCCGAGTCTGGAAAGAGGCAGGAGCATGGATTGGAGCCTACACTTCCTGCAAAGCACTTGAATTCCAACTTTCAGGAGAGCCTGGTATTTTCAAATACTTCTAAGGATTTAGGCCTTAAACTCTGATTCCTGGAATCAAAAACCTCTTCCATTGTGACCATGCTTCCTTTTTTTTCCAGTCTCAGTAATGGGTGGTGATTTAAGATATTTAAACAGTGAAATGTAGGAAGTATCTGATATTTCAGAGAACTAAACCTTATTTCTTCTGTAAATGCAATTAACTTAATGACCTGCTTGCTTTACAAAGGAATTATTAAATACTTGTGGAAAAAAATAAAGATTTCCTTGCAGTCTTTTAGTATGAGTGCTTAATGGTATTTGTTACTTACCTGCCAGAATTCTCTACTACTTTAGAGGCAACCTGTAGGGAGGAGTATTAACTTTTCCAATACAAATTGACTCGTGTTACCAAACTCATGACCTGTAAAACTGTGCAGGACAACACTTCAAAGAGATGTCTGTTAATCAGGAGCCACTTCCAAACCCTTTCCTGTAGAATTAGAAGTGACTCTTTCTTTTGAAATCTAAGACTACAATGAAGCTCATTAGCTCTTCATGTTTCAGGAGGCTTGTAACTGAAATGAGGATGATCTATATTGAGACCTTTGAGATCTCTCTCTAATACTGTTAGTACCATGTTCAAAATTAGTGGGACCTTCCTGTTCTTCAGCTATCTGGGGTCAATCTCAGCACCTTTGAATTCAATGACAGATGTCTATCTTTGATTCAGCCTTGTTTCTGCTCTTAGTGATTCTCAGGCTGTATTTATGGGTATCCAGACAAAAGCAAGACTTATACATTTTACTTCAGAGGATGTGCTTTCAGTGTCATGATTCCACAAGGTGAATTTAGCTGTGAATTTACAGGAAGCTCTCCTGGCACTATGGAGCTGCTTGTGAGGAAATATCTAAGATTCTTCAGAAAAATAACAAAGCACAGCTTGAAACTGCCACTTCTGCAAGTTTGTTGTAAGATGGCTGCTCTCAGACACAAAATTGGCTTCATTCACTAATTACTCATTTCCTGGATCATGTCTAGATCCAGCACCTCTGAAGATCTCCTTTAGAAAYTGTCAGTCTCCCATGTCTGAGAAATTACCCAGTTTGTAAAAGAGTTGATATTACCACCCCATGGATATTCACCAGGAGGCTCCGTAGGTTAGAGATCCTTTCTTATATCCACTGGAGAWAATAATTGAATTGTCAGTTAATTCTCATGCTTGTCCTTTTTAATTCCTCTCCTTTTTTGTACTGAAATTGATCTAGAGATCCTCTTACCAGTCCTGCAATGTGTAGACTCAATGCATAAAGTTATCCTCAAAGAACTAAAGACTAAAAAATCAAGGCTTCAGAGATAAGATCATGGCAAAATTAAGTTTATTTATGTTTATATCTAGCATATGATAGTCTAAAATAGTCATATAATGCATCTTCTACCAAACTGTAGTCTTACTCAGCCATCCACCATTCTCATGGCGGTACCTCTTCCCAGCTATTCATATGCAGCATGTGGCTTTAGTTTTTACCTACCACACCTCCCTAAATCTGCACTAACAGAGACTGACTAATTTCCTCCAAGGCTTTCTGTGAGTGCTGCTCATCTTAAAGAATGCTTTACAAATAGCTAATGTACGCAATGAGGCACTAATAGGTTGCAGTAGGAATCTGCTATCCTCTGTGTACATCACCGGTTAGAGATGGGTAAGCAGGGACTTGCTAACAATAAAAGGGGAAAACTTAATTAAGCTCAGGCTTACTTAGGAGTTCATGAGAGAATATGTGTGAAGATTTCAGGCCCACATGCTCCCCATCCACCCCTCCTTCCATATCGACTATGACAACATCCTCTCCTTCTCCATAAGTTACAGCTTCTCCTTTATAAAAATCAAAATATTTTAAATGCAGACAAAATGAATGCATTCCATCTAACCTTRTTCCGAGAGAGAAAACAACCTTAAAATAAACCTCCCCTGAAACACTTTAATTTGACTGACTTCAGTGGGACAGAGGGTAAAAGTGCTGAATACCTGAAGTTACATTTGAAAATACAAAATAGAAAGCAATTTAAAATAAGTCTTATTCAATGCTCACTGTTCAATTCCTTCAATGCTCAGTGTTAAGCTGTTAATATATATTTAGTATACATCTATAAAGGAAGAGTCTGGTCATATATAAACAGTATAATGCTAAGTAACTAAGTCAAAACGATTTACATGCTAGTTGCGTGGTAGTGGATATCACAGCCTTGTAACTTATCTTAAAAGTATCAGAAGATACAAAAGAAAAAAAAAATAAGAAAGAAAGAAAAGAGGGAGAGAGAGATAGAGAGAAAGAGAGAGGGAAGAAGGAAGTGAAGTGAAGTGAAGTGAAGTGAAGTGAAGTGAAGTGAAGTGAAGTGAAGTGAAGTGAAGAGAAGTGAAGTGAAGAGAAGAGAAGAGAAGAGAAGAGAAGAGAAGAGAAGAGAAGAGAAGAGAAGAGAAGAGAAGAGAAGAGAAGAGAAGAGAAGAGAAGAGAAGANAGAAGAGAAGAGAAGAGAAGAGAAGAGAAGAGAAGAGAAGAGAAGAGAAGAGAAGAGAAGAGAAGAGAAGAGAAGAGAAGAGAAGAGAAGAGAAGCTCTAACCTCTGCAGATTGTTTTTTAACTTCCCCTTGCATTTGGGATCTGTCCCAGCTTGATACCTGCAAATTTACATAAAGGGTCCTTTGATCTTTCTTAAGGTGTGGATGCTGGAAACTCACCATCCTCTAGGCAAATACTCAAATACTTTGGCATAGTTTTATTCCTTAAGAAATAAATCATTTCATTCTCAAACCTTCCATTGAGCAAGACTTTAAAGTTTGATCCAGTAATTGCACATGGGTGGACAACCCTAACCACCCACACGCAATAAAAATGAAAGAGACTGTGAACTGGGTTATATAGAAATGTGAACTAGGATCACTAAGAGGTCAGAATTCCCGCTCTTGATGATATCAGTACATATCKTGGCTTGTACACTCTTCCCAGATATATAGTGTTACATGAAAATTTGTTTTTTTTTAGCCAGCCCCCCTGCAGTTTTTTTAGCACTGTTGATGTCCTCAATGTGAGGCACTTCATCATATGAATGGGAACAAGCTACGGCACATCAAAACTCCCTGGAATGCAGCCAGGTAACATCCGCCCGCGCAGAAYGAAACAAGCATCTAACTAATGACTCGCTGCAGCAACATATTTGGTGTCGTRTCTTGGCTTACTTTAGAGCTCCAGAATAAAAGCTATATATCAATAACTGTGACGTATGTCCTCACTCCCAGTGAAATATGCACCACATATCTTTAACAGGCTCATTAAAGGGAATAAGCATTTGTGCTGCCAAGTAATTATTTTTTGTTCTTCAAAATAACAACTTGAAGAGATAATAGGGAAAGAAAAGAATTAACAATTAACATACATACATGTATTGGAAACACTACTTACTTCCTTGCCCAATGGCAACTTGCATATGTTCAGCCATTGAGGTCAAAATTTGACTCAKAATTTTTTATCAAAACAGGGTATTTTTCATAATCACAGAATTAGTTTTAATTTGGTAAGGAGGTCAACATCTCTAATTCCAGGATGTTATAGTAGATATTACTAAATAGACTGAACACTTGCTTTTCAGCAAATGGYCTTTTTTTTTAAAAGTGGCTAAAATCAATCCAACATCTTACTGTGTTTTCCATGTCTGTTTCATCAAGACCAGGAATGTTAAACTCTTAAGGACAAGTATAATAGACCACAAAATCCCTAAAAACTTGACTGCCAGCTATGGTTAACTTGGGTTAACATTTAGCAAGTTCATAAATTACCCAAATGGTAATCACTTAACCAAGAGAATCACAGTATCATAGAATAATGCAGGCTGGATTGGCTTGCTGCAGGTCATCTTGTCCTACCACCCRAAAGCCAAGGCCAAGCCAAGGCCAATTCGTAACAAGTCAGTGGTTGAGTATTTCTGAAAAYGGAATTTCCATAACTTCTCTGAGCAATTTGTTCAAATGTTTGAACACTCTCATTGTGAAATCTGTTTTCCTGACATCTAATTAGAATTTCTCTTGCTGCAATTTGCATTCATTCCCTCTCATCCTTTCACTGTGAACCTCTGAGAAGAATCTGYCTCTGTCTTCTATATACTGTCCCATTAAGTATCTGAAGAAAACTGCAAGACCTTCTTCTTTTCTTAAAACTGTTCAAATCTGCTTCTCCCAGTCTCTTCTTTTATGTCACCTCTTCCAAATCCTTTAGCCATCTTGGTGGATCTTCACTGGACTTGTGCCAGGATGTGTCAGTGTCTCTCTTGTGCTGGAAAGCCCAGAACTAGACAGGACACAACAAATGACTTTACCAGTGCTGAACAAGGGGAAAGAATAATTTCCTTTGAGTTGACAGCTACTCTACTGCTCATATAGCTTAGTGTGTGTTTGGACTTCTTCATCATAGGGGCACACTGTCAGCTCATGTTCAACTCACCAAGAGAAGAAACACTTTGTTAGTCAATCAGTGAATATTTTTGGAGATAGAACTCTTACCTAGATGAACCTTTGGCCTGCCTGAGGATGACAATTCTTAGGTGGTTAGACCAGCTCCTTATGAAGACTATCAGGGCAAACAAGTCTCTGCAAGTTTAGACAGGTGCCTCAGAAAAGTGCCTGTGGTGGAACATTATCTCAGTCAGTCAATGAATGTTTTTTATAGTTTGCCAGTGTGAATTCTTCCTATTCTTAATGTTAGGCATATGGTACTGAGGTGCTAAGGTATCTTTTTAAACTGGAGTTGCAATAAACACTGAAAATTTTACAGAATTTCATTTCAACGTTTTGCATATGAGTATTACATCATTTCAGAAAGTGCASCAGACTCTATCTTGCATTCGATGTTTGTCATTTTCCTCAAAACTTCAAGATAGCCTTTATGTTTCCAAATGCAAGAAGCTCCTAAACTTTGGTTGAGCCGCTGCCTGGCCCTCTTCCATTCTGCTCTGCAGTCGGTATGCCTGACTGCATGGTGCAGTCTCATCACAACTGTATTGCTCCTTAGCTGAATGGTTTGGACAGATCCTTCAATGCTTAAGGTCCATTGCTCAGAAGAAAAATATTAATTTGAATCTGAAGCCCTAATCAAAACACTTAAGCAAAGTGTTTTGCTTAAGAAACAAAGAAAACATTCACACCACAGATCTGCTCATACCAGACATAGAATTGGCATCAGAAATTCTATTTAAGGTAAGATAGTCTTCAAATAATAAGAAAAATCTAATTCAAAAATTGCCTGTCCCATTATCTCTCTCACCCACAAATGTGCTGTCTTCCTTTCTTCACTTGWCCTCAGAAACTCTTCCTCAGTCACTTCGGAATTTTTCCCTAGGAGTGATGGAATGGATTCTATAGTTGCATCAGGCAGTACAGTCTGTGGCACCAAATGAGGCAAGAAAATGTAACCAAAGTGGGAAGTTTCCTCATAGCACTGTCAAGTAAGCTGCAAGTTCCATCAGGCTGCAATTTTACAGTTTCATGATGTCCTCAAGAGCCTTGAAGTTTGCTTAAAGCTATTCAGACTAGTAGAACTCCCTGGGTTTTTTGGCAGCTTTGYTTTTGTTGCCTAATACTGGTGATTGTCAGTATCAACCAACAAATGTTTCTTGAATATTCTCCATGAGAACATTCTATTTCAGGCTCTTTAGAAAAGCCTAGAGCTTTCCGRGGGAAAAAAAAAAAAACAGAATCCAGAACCAGTTTATTAAATAACAAACATTAAATAACAATCTGTCTTTTGTGAATTCTACGTAACAAAACTATGCTCAAATCTCATATTAACAAAGACTGAGATGGAATCTCTGAAGTAAGGGCATTGAAAAAAAAACAAAGTGGACTATGGGCCTCCAACTGAAACCAGATCTTTACCTATTCTTCTTTCCTCCCATCTGGATGGGAACTGCAATTCTATGGCATTTATTTGTTTGTTCTACTAAGAAATTAACCATTTATTCACTGTCCACATTCCTTAGAGAGAAAACGATTCGTGTCTCTCTTGCTCACCACGTAGGAACTAGAGTTACTAGGATCCAAGGTCTGCTTGACCTATTACAATCTTTTACATACTTAATTCCTCTGTTTTAGTGAAACCAGTTTCTTTTTTTTATTGTTATTTCTTTTTCTTTTTTTTTTTTTTTTTTCCTGGGAATTAAGCTCAGCTGTAGGGGCCAATATGGCAATAACAGTCAGCAACAAGTAACCACCTAACTGAGTCACTCCTTTAACCTGTGAAGATGGAACAGTTAATTAGGCAAGGGGATTAGCTGCAGTACAACACATCTCCTTTATCAACACAATCCTTGCCATGACTCTCAGCCCTGTACTTATGACCTTCATGCTCTAAAGAAGACACAGGCAACACCTTCTTCCAATTACCTTCTACAAGGYGAATTTCATCATCAGGGTGCCTGCTCTTTGTGCTTGTCCATATATATATACGTACAATAGGTAGCTCAATATACATTCAAGCAAAGAGCAGTGGGACACTTAGAGCACAGACTGGCTCTAGAACAGGTCAAGAATCTATGCGTGCTATGAAGATAACAGGCATTTTTGTGCTCCTCATTCTGGCAGTTCTTTGCTTAGCAAGTGAGTAACCTTTTTTATTCCATGTTATGTTCTGACACTAATGTGTTTGAACAGTTCTAATGTGCAATGTTACGTTCTAATGTTCAAACACTGGAAGCTGCTCAGTCATGTAAGACATTGAGCAACAGTTGCTGGGCTTTGGTAGCAGCTTAAATGTGAAATTTTATGCTTTTGCACTGTTTAGCAAGCAATACTTCACCAGCTGTCAACTTGAATAGATGAAACCTATCTCTTTTTGTGCAAGTCAGGGCTGCATTTTGCATTGCAACTAAAAAATGTTAAAGAAAATGAAGAAAAATTGTAAAACCTCAGAATCAAACCAGGTTTTTACTCTAAACTTTTATTTCTGTCATCTGAGCATAGAACTGGACTTGATGAGGTCCTTCTGCCATACTAACTAAGTAAGAGTTAGCTGATTATGCACTAGCCACATAACTTGGTTGTGAATAAGCTTTTCATGAGGGTTTGCTGGGCTTGAGACAGATTTGAGACGTAGGACRATGCAGGTTGCTCTGTGATAAAATACCTTCTTTTTTTTTTTGTCTTGTTTGTTTGTAAAATGTCAATTTTAATGAAATAACTTTTTTTTGATGGAGATTTTTCTTTCAAATAATGTGTCAATAACTTCAGCAAAAGAAATTCTCACTTTCTAAGAGAGCTCCAGTGAATGTCTCTCTTGAATTTTATAGTCTATTTCATCTGCTTTAAAATTTAATGGATCAATACTTTTTGAACCAGATCTTGCATTTACTCCTCCAAATATAGCTGGTACTAAAAGGTGACCAGCTTTTTTTTTTTTTTTTTTTTTTTTTTTTTAACCTTAGATGTCTCTTTTTGATCACAGGACATGAGTTGCTCCATGAAAATGAGTTTCAATAGAAAGCTTCAAATATTCCAAACAACTGTATTTAGACAGAGAGATAAATGTTATCTGTCATGGACTTTTAGCCTTTGGAAGGTACAGAATGACTATTGCAGGACAGGAGAAGAACAAAATACATTCCTAAAGACAGTAATGAATGTGTCACCATAATGCAGATAGGCCACTGTTATTTGATTACTTTCTGAGAGCTGTAATTATCACTGATTGGGGCAGCATTTTGAAGCCGCACCTAAGATCAGGGCTCCATGGCATTAGGCACCATGTGTATACAAATAGGACTTCATTCCTCTACCATATAGTTTAGAATCCATATGGATTGACATGGGAAAGCCCTTTTAAAAGTGATACTACAATCTGAATTTCAGTATCATCATAATCTATATACTTGATACTATATACTAATGAAAATATTATTTTGTGACAGAGAGAAAAACAGACTATAAAGGACCATGTGACTTGCTTGTAGCTATATATGATTTTTTGATCATTGAATTAAAATCCTGCCATGCTGAACAACTAGTTCATCCTGTACAGAGTGGCCATTGAACATAATGTTGACTTCTGCATCCTTAATCTTTCTGAGATGAACAGGGGAACAATAGACTCCATTCCCTCTGACAGCAAAGGCTGTTCTAGCTGCTGACATGACTTTGTAAGGCAAACAATACCACGAGGTCCACTTGTTTAATAGGTCCTGACACATGCTTTCTATTAAATGCTGAAAAATTATGTTAGTATTTACTTTCAAGGAGGTAAGATCCTTGCTGCTGCTAAAAGGTACTAAAGATATCATCCTAGTTGCAAACTGAATGTCTATCAATGAGGTTTTTTAATTTTATCTTCTCTTATTCTGTTTTTATACTAGATGCTGCCAGAAAGGATGAGGTGAGTCATTTTTCCTTTTATTTCTGGGTAAAGACAAATAGTTTGTAGTAAGGGTACATTATGATCCACGAGGCTAGGAAAGACTTATTAAACACTAAGTAAATGCTACAGAAAACAGAGTCATGCCTGAGGTCGAGCTATTTATTTGGTTTCTTCATAGCTACCATGAGAAGTCTCAGATGCTGCTGTGTCTAATGTAGTATGTGGTTAGAAACTGGGCAAGGGGAAACCTGAAGTGGGAGAAATCAAGACATTTGATACTTGTCTAGTGAAGACAAGTAAGGCTTCCTTGGCTTTAAGGCTTCCTTGGTGACTTTCTGACTTAAACTACATCTCTAGAGATTTTAATGTTTCCCTGTGCTGGGGACCAGGTAGAGAAAGCTGGGACAACTCTGCTTTTCTTTTTTTACAGTGCTTTTATTTTTGTTCAGGCAGACAGCAAAGCCTCCAGGATACTCATTATATGGCACAGCCAGCAGCATGTAGGCCTCTGTAAGAAGGAACATCTCCTTCCTGAGGGACCTRCAGCTAGAGCAGATGCTGAAGCCCTGCTGCTCTACAGCAGCTAACAAAATTGTCCAAATATTTCATATTTCCCTTATTTCTGTAGATGAGCAGAGAATGTGAGGAAGATCAGCTCAAAGGAAAATTAAACTTTATTTGCAGGTAGACTGCAGTGAATACAGGAGTTTACAGGCAAGAAGACCTATTTACTGTGAAAAGCTCTATCAACCTTTCTGTGGCTCTGATGGGAAAACCTATAACAACAAATGTTCCTTCTGCAAGGCAGTCCTGTAAGTACAATGCYGAGTAAATATTCCTGAATAAATCCAAATCTGAGTTGGGTTTTGGTATTTCCATTCCACCCAAGTGCTGCCATTTTTTTCAGGGTCCCCACTGCATCTTTGCTTAATCTTTATAGATTAATTGTTTCTCCCGACAGTAAGGGGGGATTGATTRAAAGAAATGACCTTGTTATTTCTGTTAGGAACTTTCTATTGTAGCAGGCATTGTAAAACTTGTACAGTAAAGAGAAAACTCCAATGAACAAAATGTTGTTGACAAGTCACCGGTCTCAATTCAGGTCATGTAAGAATTCAAAACTCGCATTGGAAACATCATTAAAAAATTCCTGTGGAATAAAATGAATATTTTTGGATGAAAATCTTTCATAAGTCAGTGCTTTCCTTTCTGCTGCAAGTGTTTATAGAGTGTTAGTGTTTATAGGGTGTTCTCTGTTTGCAAGTTGCCTCGAGAACTTCAGGATTTTAGTTTACAATATTAAGCATGCAATCTATAATGCCTATGTCCTCTTTTTCTCCACAGGAGAAGCAGAGGTGCTTTACACATGAAGCAATCAGGTCCGTGCTGAATGGATTCTGGGTGACAGAGAAGAGTGCTGAGAACAGCTTTACACTGCCACATCACCATCCCTTAATTAAATTTCACTCCTCCTGTCTGTTCTGATGATGGCCCACAGAGCAAGAAGCAGCCTTTTCACCTGTTCTCTTTCCATACTTCTCACTGCTTCATAGCATAGGGAATGACACTTCTGTCCTTCCTGCATAACATAAATCCTTCAGGATTGTCATAAGCATCCCGGGCTCTGCACTAGTGKCTTTCAATGTGAGCTAATTAACTAACCTCCACAGTGACAGTTCTTAATTTTCCAGCATTCCCAGCTGATTTTGTTCCATGCAAGCAATACAGGCATCATCTCTGCTTTTCTTATTGGTGAAGCTTTTCCTCTCACTTTGCAAGTACTTCTTTTCAAGGGCTTCATTTTTCCTAGGTAATGTTTTGACTTTTCCTGCTCTAGAATTTGTAGCTACTTTGTAAATCGTCATTTTTCTTCYAGCTTTGTACAGCTCTAAATCATTCATCGTGTTAAGCTTCTTAGTCTGCATGTATATTAAAATAAATGTTGACATGTTTTATGCCCGTGGTCCTCTTTCTAGAGAACAAGTTTACTGCATTTGTTATTCATAAATTACCTATTTCCATGTTAAAGAAAATAATTACAGAGTTTAGCCAGGCCCAGAAAGTCGAATTACCACAGACAAAGTTGTAATCCTAACGGTATTCACTAGATGGCCCCATGTTACTGGCAGGTACCCTCCAATCTGGCTTTTTTCCTTCAAATGAAAGAAAGGCAGTAAGCTGTGTAAGCTTAACAGCAGTGTCTCCGTTAAATCCTGTCCATTTAACCGTGTTCATTAATGACTCTTCTCAGGTCTCATAAACTGGCTTCTTTCAGACACGAATAAATTCTATATTGTCCTTACAATCTCTTATTACTAAACTAGATTATGTCTTTTATACTTGAACAGTCCTTCAGTCAGGGAATACATTTGCCAGAATTAAAGCTTGTGAACGACTTGTTTTTCTGGGATTACACAGGCAGAAAACTTTGAAATATAAGCATGAATTGGGCTAGAATAAGACTGATCGGAATGGTTTTGATATTACACATTCCTTCTTTCATGACTTTGGCTATCAAACAATTTAAGAGGCGAATTAATCACACAAAACAGCATGAGATGTAGGAGTTTCATTGTGTCCATCTGGGATAGAAAAATCACAAAAATCTGTTCTCTATGTTTTTATACATTCCTGCCTTTGGGATAGTTAGTAGTTATTTTGGAGGAGACTTCCTTCAAAAAGATAACTCAGAACATGAAATTTTAACACTATCTTTTTTAGGGAAGAGAACTATAAAGTTCAATAATTTTAAAAGTTGCACTCAATCATCTTGGCTGGGAACATCTGGAAAAAGAAGATAAAACTGAAAACAATAAAAGTTAACAACAACAACAACAAGGAATATTGAAATGCTARACTGAGTATCTCTAGATATCAAACAGGTTTCTGTCATATGCATTTCTTTATCCTCGCATCTTCAATATTTTCTGACTGTGGGAAGTTTACCTTGCCATGMACCATGTTCTGAAGATATTAGAGAAAATTTTAAACCAGGAAGTTAAAGAGAATTTATCAATTTATTCTCTCATTTCTTCCAGTTCTTATTCTGAGCCTCTGCCTCAGGCTTAGCTTAGTGCATAAATCAGTGCAATTTAATCTTTGCTAATCTAAGGGCCCATCTGTGAGCTGAGAAAACCTGGAGTGAAATACACGCTGATCTTCCTTTCTCCTACTTGTTTGGTGGAGAGGACTCCATAAATTCAGCTAAGCCAGGCACTCAGGAATGCCGCATGCTGACAGAGTCCCCAACAAAGGGCTAGTCCAGATGGCTTCTTTTTATCTTCCGTATAGAAAAAAAAAGAAAAAGAAAAAGGAGGCTGAAAATTCTTGTAAATCTAATGCAGACAGAGACACATGGGCTACATGAGGGGTTCACATGGCTATCTTCCCACTCATATTTCAAACCAGAGTGAACTTCAATGGATAAATGGCCCAGAACACTAGAACGGTGGCATATTGTGTGAAATTGCTGATATAACATTAAAGTTACATCAGATGTAAAATTAAGTAACATTAGAGTTACTTACTTTTTCTCTCTGACCAAAGACAAAGACATTATCACTACCGACGTYGCAATACAAATCCCTCATTGAGTCACCCCCAAAACTATAATTCCAAACTATTCAGACACTTCTTTTGTGCATTTCTTCCTTCCTCCTTAGTTAGACTACTTATGTTAGTACTTCTAGCTTTAATTGCTGCCAATAAAGACACAGATGGTAAATCCTCATTAAGGTGGGGAGGAACTATGGGCTAGAGCTAGTAACACCCATGTACACCTTGAGCTCAAGAACAGTGAGACTTAAAGATGAAAGAAATCACTCTGCCTATTATCTTCTGGATTAGGACATGCCTAAGGCATGTAGGAGGAACAGAGGTAGGCAGGTACCGAAACTAAAGATAAACTAGTGGTGGTAAAAAAAATCTGTCAGCTGCCAGTGTGAAATGTTATTGTTCATCAGCTATTATTGCTTTCTGTTAGAAAAGGTAAGCTGAGAAAGCTAAGGAACCTAATTCTTAGTGCTGAATGAGAGGCGTTAGTGGAAGAGGTTGGCAAAAAATACCTCTTGCTATCCTGGGACACAAATTAAGGCCAGGCATTCCGCTTATCTGGAAACCGGTTCCTAACAATTAGGCAGGAGGAATGCAAATGAGCAAGGTAATACTGCAAAAGCTTCTCGTAGCTCAAAGGCTTGTGGCTTTGCACAGAACTCAGGCAACAGGAGAGAGCCTCACAACAGGTCACCGTGCTCTGAACTTGTCTTGACTGAGAAAGACCAAATTGAGGAAACAGTCTAAAACAGAAAATATCCACCACAGCTCACCTGGACTTTTATTCTGTTCAGTTTATTACTGATATAAATAGTAAAGAAGAGTAAGTGGAGAGCAGTACTCTTCAACGTGGASGCTTTGTGCTCTTCATCAGCTCTTAATAGCATCATGTGGTGCCCCATACTTGGAGACAAGACGGAGAAGCACCCAAGTCCATGCCACATACCAGAGCAACGATAATCATTTGCAAACTGCTATAAATGTCACCTGAAGAAAATGCTGAAGGAACCAGACCATCTGGATGGTCAAGTTTATGTGACGGAGCAACAGCAGAAATATGGGGAAGGAAAAATGTGTGTAGCTTGAGTGAGTTGATGAAGTGCTCTCAGATCCTTATTGCTAGGAAATAATATAGTGGTAGACAGATACTGGAACAGAATAGAAAAAGAAGAGCTCTTTGCACTCATAGATATTTAGAATATTCAAAACTCTACACTGAAAAGGTCTTCATATATCATCAATATAGCTGTAAGTCTGTGGAGGAGAAGGAAGCAGTTTAACAAAAAAAGAACTTACAGTGTTTTCTTTTTCATTTTTATGATGAGAGATAATGAAATACAGCTCAGAAAATCATATGGCTTAGAAGTACTAGACACAATGGATTCCCGGGGGAAAAGAAATGCCAGCAGTATAATAAAGGTACTTGACCCGTCCATAAAGCCACTTTGCTGAAAGTCTCACGGATATCACAGCTTCACAGCTGGGCCACAACCAACATCCAAGTCCGCTTACTCCTACACTAGCAATTAGCTCCTTAGAGGCATCACAAGCAACAGGCAAAATTGCCAGCTGTACCGTAGAGCTATTGCATACCTGTTGCATAAAGCATTCCRTAGATCAGGCCAGAATCCTACATCTCTAGCTAAAAGATAATATCAGATGATTAATTGTTGAACTATAATGGAATATAATTCACATTCAACTGTGTTCATTACAATAATATTAGTATCCGGTCATCCAGGAGAGCTGGATTTTTACCCTGCCCTAGAACAAGTGTGATATTACTTAGGCTGCTTATTCTACACTGCTGAAAGGTTTTCTCATGCTTGGGGAGTGTTTCCAGCTACTGCAGTTGTTCAGTGCTTCTGAACTGATTAATAATGCTAAGTATTGGGGAAAAATGTACCTCTAGTGTCTCAAATCCAGAGAATATAATCAGAAGACAGTTTCAACAATTTCATCTTAATCTGCCCATGTTATTTGATTGTAAAATAGGGGAAAATACTACCTGGTCTTAAACAGGTATTGTAAGGGTTGATTCCCTGATGCATGTRAAACATTTAGGTATAATGGCAACAGCAGCTCTGTTCACAGAACACGTTTTCATAGCTGATTTGATAATTGTATTTGTTCAGCATGAAGAAAATAAAACTTTGGACCACTTTSTGAACAGGAGATGTAAAACGAAACACCCAGGAATTATCTGATCATTGAATAAGAAGGATGTTATTAGGAAAATATAATTTTCCGGGGTCAGTGTTGGTCTATGTAAATATAGGCTCTTTTTCTATTGCATCTATAGGACTAACATTTATGTGAAGCAGCAAGATGATGCATTAAAAAGGCAAAGCTGAGTATGTTAGAGTTGGCAGYGATGGACGGTTTGGCTGGCACTGCGCAGACAGTATCCTACCAAGCATGATTCCCAGAGCAGGGAATTGTGATGGATCTATCCTTCTCCAGCAAAATCACTCATATATAAAGGATAATTACAAATAAATAGAAAGGATGTACATTTTTCATAAAACATTTATTTGTTCTTCTATCATAATAACCACCTCTCTCTTTCACTGACTCGAAAAACTCTACACTATACTAAATTAAAATTAACGAGCACTTGGAATTGCAGTCAGAGGCTATGATGGAAAATGAGAGTCATCTTGGAAACAGTGGGAAGACAACACTGGCAACCAGTTTGTCTGGAAAATCTGCCTGGCCTGCAAGTAGGTGGGCTCCCAGGATCTTTCTCTGATGCATTCAAAGTGGCAGAATATTATGAAACATGAAGGCTGTAGTGCAAAATCTCTAGGTATTGTATGATTCTTTTGGTTCAGCTCCATTAAAGCTAATGAAAAATAATACTTTTTCAAGCTGTTTAACTCAATGCTATTACACTTACTGGATGCAAAGGAACTTGAAAAGGCAGCATTTTGGCTATGCCTTCAGGAAAACTGCTCAACATAAGAACAAAAATGCTACTGGGTATAGAGTTATGATAGCAACTTTAAAAACATGTTGTATTACAGAAGTCAGCACATAGATTAGCCATGGATATAAAGTTCAGATTGCTCTTTTCTATGTGGAGGGGGCAAAGCTGGTTGAAACATGAGCAGCTAAGGGCATGAAAAAATCCAGGATGGAATAAAACAGAACCAAGCAAACAACACATGCCATTAACGCTATGGAAATGAAGTGTTTTGATTTAGTTGTAATAAGAAATGC